CATGACGTTTCGGGTGTTGTATGTTCCGGCCTTCTTCAGGTGATGTATATGTTGGAATTTTATTTCGTCCGTCGGTGTAGATTGTTCTAGTTCCACGTGCCATGCCCTTTCTGGATATCTCAGTTTCAGTTATTTCCCTTTAGTAATTCAACTCTTCAAGTTTTTAATAACTTCTGCGGATATTGAACTCAAAATTCTTTGGGCCATGTCACTAGATTACTTCTACCAACGTTTTTATTTACTGGGCCATGAGACAATAAAAATAATTACAATACCGTATCTCAGAATTAGAAACAGAACTATTCCTCTGTTGCCTGAAGTCACCTCTGCATCTGTGACATATATTTGCTTCACAGTAAGATTCATCCTGTACAAGGCCCGCGAGTCACTCGATGTAGAGGAGTACACTAACCGACAGTTAATACGGATAGGAGGGAAAGATAACGGCTAACTCTAGACTTGAACAGGTTAAAATTGTAGTGATTGGGTTAACATCCTCTTTGGAGTCTGTTCCACAGAGAAGTGGTTTGCGGTAAGAAACTGTTTGAGTGGAACTTCTCGTCGTTGGAGTGGGGAGAGAATGTAGGTGGTTTGCTACAGTAGCATGGTGGGTCCAAGCCGTGAAGGTTAGAACTAGCGGACGCCAGAAATGTAGCTCGACCGAGCACTTTAGATAGTAGTAGCGATAGAGAAGTGAAAGACTCGCCACATCCCGCCTGTTAGAGAGAGGTTGGAGGGTGGAAAATAATTCTTCTTCAACAAGGGCTCCAATTTCATCAAAATTGGAAAGTGTAGTCTGGGCAGTTACCGTCCAAATAAGTCAATAGTACTTTATTTTCGGCCTGATCTGGCTCTTTTAACTGAAGAGGATAGCGTGAGGTATCAGGTATTTACTGGAGCAGTACATTTTGGTTGGTTTGGTGGATGACAAGTAGGATGTGAAACAGACACTCATTTTGAGATGCACACATAAATAATCTGGGTTACCTCGCCCGGAGATATTGCCGTAACAATACCCATCATCATGGCATCGAGAGGCTCCATCGGAGACTACTGCACGGTTCAGAAATCATTTACAAAATGGCAAAGATTGTGTAGCAAACGTTTGTGACACACCTTGTCTCATGCTATGGTCCTTGCGGTGTGCGTGTGTTCAATAGTCTCACTAATTCTGTGTGTAAAGGTAGTTTCGATCGGGCTGACCGAAACCCATACCGCTCGTCGTACAGGTAGTTGTTCCTATCTAGGTGTTCGACTACCTTCTTGTTGATTAAGGCCCCTAAAATCTTACTGATGATACTGAGGAGACTAATTGGTCTACACTGGGAGGGAGAAGCTAGGTCGCCCGCATTCTTAAAGACCGGACATACGCTTGCCACCTTCCACAGGCTTGGGAAAAGTGTTCTTCAAGCAGCGGTTAAATAACTTTGCTAGGATAGGGGATAATTCTGGGTTGATATTGTTAAAGAAGACCACTGGAATTTTGTCTGAGTCAGTGGCTTTTTAGGGGTCGAGACTTTTAATAATTCTAGAGAGCCCGCTTACTGAAATTAGTATATTACTGAGATTGTGCTCAGTGAGACTTAGGAAGTTAAGGAGGGGATGGGCTTTGTCATCTAACGTAGAGTTTGAGGCAAAGATAGAGAAGAAGAACTTTGCCTTGTCTGTCGAGGAGGACATGACCTCGGGGCCATTTATAATTGTGGGCATACCCGCTTTACCCCTGTTCATAATTTAGTGCGTAGGTACACTTTGTGTTTTCCAGAACTCTCTTACAGCGATTTCGGTCAGTTCTGAAAATAGTAAGGACCAGACGACAGCGCTCCATGCGATAGATTTTGAAATAGTGGTTCCGTTGAGCTATGGCTGCAGTGCATTCGAGATTAAATCCGGTCTGATTGTTTGTTTTTTGCTGGAATTTGGGCGGGAAGGAGGTATAAAACACTCCATTCCAGAAAGGGTTCATTCGGAGATCAGGGCAGCAATTTTGGGGAGAGAATGCTTGAAGAAGATTGAGATGGGAGCTTCCTTCATTTAGGATCAAAAGCTGTCTCATTCTGCTTTCGCATAACGAAAAACCGTTCTATGGAACGGTACATCATGGGATGCCTTAGGTTTGGCATCAATATGGATACTGATTAGTGAATGGTCTGATATGTCTAGTGAAGGTAAAACTTTTGATAGGTATATATCAGGGCAGGAAGTTAGGAAGAGGTCAAAGATTATCACCTGATGTCCCATCATGTCCAGGACCCGGGTAGGTTCTCTAATGTTAGTTCATCGGCAATGGAGAAGTCTCTACAATAACTGCCTTCAAAATAGTAAGGGCCAGACTACAGCTCTCTTTGTAATAGATTTTGAAGTAATCGTTCCGATGAGTTATGGCTGCAGCGCATTCGAGGGTAAATCAAGGCGGATTTTTTTATTTTTCGCTGGAATTTTTTTTGGGTATAAAACACTTAATTCCAGAAAGGATCCATTCGGAGATTAGGGCAGCAGTTTTAGAAGCAGCTTGTGTGGAGAAGGTTGCGAGAGGAACTTCCATCATATAGGACCGAAAGCTGTCAAAGTCTGGCTTCGCGGAGCGAAAAACCGTTCTATGGAATTAGGGTGTGTCATCGGTTTGGCGTCAATCTGGACACTGAATAAGGAATTGTCTGACGTGATAGTGAGGGGACCGGGGTAAAACTTTTGTTGTGCATTTGTCAAGGCAGGATGTTAGAAAAGGTCGGGAAGGTTTTCTTGCTCTCCCGGCGCATCCAGGAGTTGGGTGGGTTCTTCGATGATCTGGGTTAGTTCATAGGTGATGGAGAAGTCTTTGCAATATCAACTTTCCTCATCGGTTTTGTTAGAGTGGACTAACCACTCTTTGTGATTAACATTGAAGTCACTGCATATGTCAAAGCTGGCCGAGGGAATTCGGGGAGGATACTGTCAACTCTTTCTGATAATCGATTGGATTCGATCCTTCATCTTGAGGGCGATACAGAGCAAAGACGAATGTGGCAGTATGAATAACTGTCACGCGGAAACACATATATGGGAGATCAGGGTCCTCGTTTTTGTGCCCTTGCCACAGAAAAAGCCGTCATTGATGTAGGTACCGAACTCATGACCGTGGAGATTTAGCGGGTATATTTTGTTATAATGGATGAGTGGCCCGGGATGAGCTCCAGCAATGAGATTGAAGCAATGATACCCGTTTCAGACAGGAGGTCAGGTTTAGAATAAATAAGATTGCGTTCCACTTCTGGAGGGTTGGAATGAAGACAACTTACATTAATGTAAGGGATCTACGTTTTTTGGAGGATTAGTTTGCTAGTTTTGCTCGTTTTCAGTTTGATCGCTTTCATGTTTATTATGGTTGGTTTGGTGGATGGGAAACAGACACCCATGGTTGGTGCACGTATAAATAACCTGGGTTGACTCGCCCGGTGATACTGCCGTAAAAGTACCCATCATCATGGCAACGTGAGGCTATACTGGAGACTATTGCACAGTCCAGAAACTATTCTCAAAATATCAGTACAAAAGACCCGATATTATACATCTGCTGATAGGATAACTGCTTTCGAAGGTTCGGATGCCTGTCTATCAGCCGGATAATGCCAAATCCCAGAAAACGTTAACCTCCAACATCCTTAATGAGGGTGAAAATAACACAGGATAGATTCAGGCGTGATACTCCGAGTGTATGTGCCCCATCCGCCTAGAGCAACAGAAACATCGTACCTTCCAGATACCTAGTTTGGATTTAAAATATAGCACTCTTAATGAGGGAGAAAATAAACCAGGCGTGATACTCCGAGTGAACGTGTCTCGTCCGCCTTGATGTCAGGATAACAAAATTCATTGGGCCAGAAACATCGTACCGTCCTAGGATGCAAGCTCGCTCATATACATGAGGACTAAAAGACCCATTGTGAGAAGGGGTGTGGGCTAACGAAGGGGTTCGTGTGCATCACCTAACCTTATTTGAGTTAGTATTAGAAGCACATCTTTAGGGCGAGGGTGTGCATAAGGAGACTACTTCTTCTATTTGAGGGAAAAGAAAAAAAAAGAGTTTAGACTTAAAATATAATTACTTATGTCACAGGTATAAGATGGGAATTGGCAGTTTTTCATTTAGAATTTCATTTGAACCAGCTGGCCAAGGAGGCGGGGGAAATAGGTATAAGATATTACCTTGGTATAATTCCCAAGATACTCTTCTTGAAAAGCAGCGATATACGCAGACGAGCCAGTTTACAACGCCAAAAAGACTTCCATTAAATACAGTTCGATTGCCAAATAATATTAAATTAATGTGCAGGTAAACAGTACAGAAGCTCGTAAACACACACACACACACACACACACACACACACATATATATATATATAATAGCTGGCCACTGGTATTCGAGGATACCCGTCTATTAGTGTAGCTAGCCAATCCCTATTACAGATACTCACTCAGGCAAATTTGTGTTGACTCAACACCCACAGAGCCCACATGTGGTTTATACTGTAACTATGCTGAGCAGACCTTAGTTACAGTTTCTGGGGGAGAGCGTGTTAGCTAGCGTGATTAACATTTTGAACAAGGCCTGCACGCTGAAGCCATCGGCCACGATGACATGTGGGTTATATATATATATATATATATATATATATGGGTGGGGGTAGCAGCTCGGAAAATCGGAGAGCCGAGCTCGAATTCCAGTCGAATCCATTGCATTCACTTACGAGCTAATACCCTTAGGAAAGGTATGAATCCTCTTCTTCTCCCCCCCTCAACTAAGGGTAAATAGCAGGACAGACCGGGTTCTATAGCCTTGGATGGCAACTAGTCTACCGCAGAAAACCTACTGCGGGAAAAAATCTGTCTTGCCAGTCATGTATCGAAAAAATACATGATCGCTTAAGCGTGTGACACGTATAGCACATAACTGACTGATATATATATATATATATATATATATAAAACACTCTTCATATGTCTACAGGACGTGGGCGTTTATGATTCTCCACGTCCTCAACTATTTCAATGCTTACCCAAGTGTTAATATTCGTTCTGAAAGTCTTTAACACATTCCACTCCTTGTCTACGTGTATTTGTCGCTTTATCTCTTGATTTAATGAAAAGAATCCATAAACTTACTACGAAAGTAGCAGAGTATTTGGTGAGAATCTCACCGCCGGAAAAAAATCCACTAATTTCAGATTATATCTTGCTTCTGTTTGGTCTCGTCACGTTTTGTTTTTTTTAAATTATCGGTCACATGATCGCTTAAGCGTGTGACACGTATAACACATAACTGACTGAGATATATATATATATATATATATATATATATATATATATATATATATATATATATGCCACGAAGCAGACGTAATATAGAATTTTATAGAAAAATAAAGAATTAAAAATGATAACATGAGACAAATTAATTAATAGTTAAAAGAATAAAAATTTAAAGAAAAAGAGATTGTCGAACACATACAATAAGACGGGCGAAGTTTTTGGTGGATTCGAAATTCGATATGTCTGATGAAATAGCAGCTTTCATTTAATAATTTTCAACGTCTCTAAATATTCTTGAAGTTTAAATAAAACATATTTATTGTTCATAACAATTGATTTTAACCATTAAATAACTTCAAATTATTTTTTTCGGAATCATTTTGTTTTTTGATTATTGATTTAATGTTTAGTCGGTAATCATTTGACATTGTTCTCATTAATTTCCAAGAAAGAAATATTCCTAAGTTCATTTTGTCTCAAATCGATTGTTACCTATGCAAAATGATGAATGACGGTGTCATAAACGAAGATTAACCTCAAAATATCGGAGGTCGGCTGTCTCCCATGAAGAAGAGAGAGATTTCCTATTGTCATCCGACTTGCATGATATGAAGAGCTGATATGAAGAGCTGTTTAAATTCATATAATAAATAGCCTTACCGACTTAGTAACAATTGAAAGAAAAAGACTTTGTCTTCAGGATAATCTGTCTTCAAATATTGCACGATAATGTCACTCGTTGTTTTCAGGTAAGTTTCGATTTTTCAATTTAAACTGGAAACACTATCCCGTTCGTTTCTATCTATCTATCTATCTATCTATCTATCTATCTATCTATCTATCTCAGTCCATTTCTTTCTTTCTTTCTTTCTTTCTTTCTTTCCCATTCTATTCATATCTATCTATCTATCTATCTATCTATCTATCTATCTATCTATCTATCTATCTATCTATCTATCTCATTCTATTCATATCTATCTATCTATCTATCTATCTCATTCTATTCATATCTATCTATCTATCTATCTATCTATCTATCTATCTATCTATCTGGAATTCGTATGTACGATCCGTCACTAAAGATGCTTGAAAATGTCCGGTTCATTGTACAGCTACAGTATCAGCCTTCTCCTGCTATACTCTATCTTTACAAGAGCCTGATATAGCCGAAAATAGATCCATTGTTACCATATCTGGGCTGTTGTTGCCCAGTCTTGATAGAGTCCAAAAGCCTATACTTAGCCTTGGGGATGATAAATTGATTATCACTTTGCAACCACCTTTCCCAAGACGAAAATTTGCATGCCTCTCGCTACTCTACCCCTATTTCCATGGAAAAGATTCAAGCGATCATTCCTTAATTCCCTCAACCATATACCACCCTTCTAAGACCCATCAAACTGCGTACATTGAGGCCACCCACCCTTATTCCATTCATATTGTTTTAGTAAACAGTAAGTTCCACATGGATAGGTTTTTGTCCTAGAACTGTTCTTTTGTGGAACAGATTCCAAGGATTATGCTTTCCCGACCATTATAATAGTTAAGTCTGTGTCTAACTAGTATCTGTATAAACTGCGCCATTTACTCTTAACGCTCTACACAACAAACACCTTCAGAAGTCTTCTATCTTGAGTGGCTCTTGGGCTTTGTATAAAGTGAAAATTAGTGTAAAAAAGAAAATGTAAATCCGAATAAATGAACTTACAGACAGTTTAGAAATGAGTCATTCACTTTTTATTGTTATCAACACTTTTAGGGTCACTTAAAGCAAAAAAACGTATTTCTGACTGAAAGTGCTTGCTTACAACAGACCTTTTTCGAAAAGTGGAAGAGACACTGGTAGAAATGTTCCCAAAAGGAATATATTCAAGGGGATGAAGCCACTATTGCCCTAGTTAGGCTTTCATGTTTTTTTTTTTAAATATTATCGAATGGCTGGATAAATTCTGGATAGGAATTGTTGGCTGAATAATGAAAGAAACATAATGAGGAAAGGAACAAAATCCCAAGAGGATGCTTTCCCGACCTCTTCAAGTCTAGGGTTAACCATTATCCTTCCCATATATCCGTATAAACTGCCTCCTTACTCAAACAACAACCGCTTTCAGTAACACTCTAACTTGACTGACCCTTGTAAAAAACCTATCAGTCTGTCCATATCTATATATCTCAGTCTTTATCTATCTAGCGCACTAGATATGTATATATCCTGATATATTATCCTATCTATACATTCCTGAGAAAAAAAAACTATTAAGACATATCACTATATTAATTAAACTATATACTTAGTTCATATCATGTTAACTGAAAAACACTTGTAAAAAAAAGGATTCGTGGATTTACCATATTAGAAATTTTGAACTTTAGCGTTGCGACTCGCACGTTCCAAGATTGTACAACCGTCAATAAATAGCACATTCTTAAAAAAACATCTTTCGGTCTACAAACAATTATTTCGTGTTTAAGTTTTAACTTTAAAGGAAAAAAATTACAGCCTGATGATGGAGACATGGATCTACGAAAGTACTTGCTTAACTTAAAAAAATATACACTAGAAACATCTGACAAGAGTTTTATAAATGAGGATCACATCATTCAATGGATTAATAGCATTTTAATGTATACATTACGTTTCTACTAGCGAAGTGATTTCACAATTAATCGCATTAATATTGCTGAGTGATTCTATGTATGATTATTTCTTTTTATATATATATATATATATATATATATATATATATATATATATATATATATGTATGTATGTGTGTGTGTGTGTGTACTGTATTATTTTAATCTCTATATTTGGGCAGTGTGAAAAAAACCTAGATAATACAATTTGTAAATAAAAATATATTTGATCAAACCGATATCAGGGAAAAAATCAGTAAAAAAAGAAAAGACTAAAACCATCCATGTTGGTCGAAGATCAAAAAATCAGCACCGCAATACCTAGTCAAAAGAAAAAAAAAACACCGACAGAGTAAATTAAGGCGAAAACATAAAAGTGCTCAATACACTAAGTAGAGCAACCCCCCCCCCCACCCAAAAAAAAAATAATGAGCCATAACCTACCTAACTAGGTTTCACCTAACGAATCTTCAGGAGACTACTGGCTGAAGATCCGTTCGGTGAAACCGTGGTAGGTAGGTTCTGGCTCACTAGGTTAATACATAGAATTAAATTATTTACTGATTTATGACAAAGAGAAACAGACAAATAGCTATTGACTGAAATTTCAAAGATTTGAGGGATATGACAAATATCTTACATTTTTTATTCGAAATATTTACAGTAACTCATTTGGTCACGTCAGATGATATTATGTAATCATTTGTAATAACTCCTCACGACCACTAACGCGTTAGAGAAAACCAATATTGCTTATAAATTTAAATGCCCTCTGGGAGATTGTATCTCCAATGGTAAAAATAATACTTAAGTTGAATACACAACAACAAATCTGTCTCGGCGGTTAAGTTTTCATTTGAATAATATGTCCAACATTTCTAAACATTTACAACATACCTGTCTACATCTTGTCGATAAATACTTCTATACTTTTTCAGGAAAAGAATAAACATAAACTAAAAATTTTCGAAGCTATCTACATTAAAAAAAATGAAACCAAATGTTAATGAAATTAATTACGAATACTCCACAGATAGACCGAAATGCCAAGGTTGTTAGTTTTTTTACTACTTATTTCGTAAAAGAAAAACATACACCCATACTTAGTTACCTCCCCTTAAAGCTAATCCGTGAATATGAAAGGATCCAATTGAAAATAAGTAGACAGAACATATCTAAATTATTCAACGAAACATGTCTAAATATTGATATTTATTCTAAATTCCACTTATATGAAGATGCACATGACATGTACAAAAGATGTAATTTGATATAAGGTTATTGATGAATGATGTGACAACAACTTAGGAAATTATTGAACAGAGATCGAAGGACAATGAAAATAGAAAACGAAATCAATGACAAGATAGGGCAAAAAACAAAAACAAAAAATGTAGCGTGACATAAAGAGAAATGTAGACTGAAAGTTAGAAAATATTTAAATATTCTTATAGTAGTTGATATTGTAAAAAGAATAACTACTGAATCTTAAGAACATTGGCTAAAAACATGAAAGCAAAAAAAGTTACCGTCTTTAAATTAAAGGCCCAAAGCCAAACGTGTAAGTTGAACGAAAACGGGATAACAATACAGCTACATTGATCCGATCTGACGGAAGAGCTATAGGTTGGGTTCTTTGTGGAAATAACCAACTAAAATGTCGTAGAAGACAGTTGTATACCTGGGGGAAATAATGTTTTACTTTAGTCTTAAGGTATATAGGCATTAAAATTATTAATCACATCAGAATGATATGGTTGTAATGAAAATGGAGGGAATTGTTGCAAGTTTTGTAGACACTTAGTTTTTGAGTGGAATATGCTGTAATAAACATTTAACCCTAGAACACTAACCATGGGTATATAGTACCCAGCGCATATTTTCCTACTTTTAATTACAATTTTCAGTACCTGATTTTCTTACCTAAATAATATGTTTTTCAATTTCTATTAATGTTAACTCAAAGAACAAATTTTGAAGTGCCTGCATGTAAAATTTCAAATAAAGATTTATATTTAATATTTTTTTTTATATTTTTAAAATCGGGTATGATATACCCATGATTAGTAGTGGTGTAACTTTAATTGATGATTAGTGTTCTAGAGATAAAAGGGTGTATGCAAGATGATGCTACTTCACATTTTGCAAAAAGATGGCTAAACGAATTTTCAAAGATACCAAATTTACAGAACAACTCTAACCTTCCGCACATATTAACCCAATAGAAAAATTGTGGTCCACTAATAAATAGTCATGATAATATTAACAGTACCCTTATGTGGAAAAAATTGGCATTCATTGTCCGAGCAGCCAGTGCCTCTGTTGTTTGGCGAGCCTTTCAATTGACTGACTAGGTCCCTTTGCTTGGCCTTCACGTCTAGGATCTGCAAACCACCCACATTCCCTCCGTATTTCATCGGCGAGAAGTAAGTTCCACTCGAACAGCTTCTTCCCTCGAACCACTGCCCTATTGGACAGACTCCCAAGAGGATGTTTTCTCGAAAGCTACAATCTTAACCTGTTCAAATCTAGAGTTAATCGTTATCTCCCTCTTCGATCCGTATTAACTGCCGCTTAAGGTAATCCTCTACCTAGCGTGGCCCCCGGGTCTTGTACAGGGTAAAATTTACTATATATATATATATATAATTTTTCTATTAAAAATGTTTCAGGAAAATGTTTTTTTCAAATTCCATAACTGTTATCGCTCTTTCCAGTAGTGATGAGAGTGTTTCCTTCCTACACCTTTGTTTGAAATAGTGTGGATCGTTAACAACTTGATTATATTACCATTTTCTATTCAACTTATATGAGAAATCCATTTTAGTGCTTGCTGTTGCTGAAAGTCCTCAAAGGATGTGGTTTCTATTATTCGGTACAATTGATTGTTTATGATTGTATAGCGTCATATCACGAGGTTCGAGGAAGGATGGTCTTCGTTAAGCCTTACTGGCTTCATTCACTCGAAGCTACATATAACAATTGATCTAAGAAAGTATTTGAATACAAGTGACAGTTTAGATATTTCTGAACGCGTTTGCAACCGTGCATGACACTGATATTACAACCTCGATCTGATGAAGCTTATTTAAGGACATGAATGGAGTTTTCTGCTTAGTGTTTTCTAGCGATTTGCGATGGTGGGTGAACTTATAATTAACACAGCCTATTCAATGTTCATTTTCTTTATGCCATATACTAAATATGTAACAACTGATCCATATACCGAGGTATATGAAATGTTTATTTTTTTTTATTAATTCCACATCCATAATTTTTATGATAGATTCAAGGTAGATGTCAGTACTGCTTTCATTTCAATTCCAGATCATTAGGTTTTGGAAAAGACTACATTGAGTCCTATTTCTTGGAATATTTAATAACCAAATTAAAGCAGATTCTTTCTTCGAATCTTGCAAGTT